AGGGCTCAGGGACGGAGTCAGCTAACAGCTGTGCCTCAGCTTCTTGGCAAGCCTCACAAAGACACGGGAACATTTAGACTTTTCCAATACCACCTCCTGAAAGTCAGACATGGGACAGGTCTGCTGTCACAGGCTTCATGGCCTTTCCCCTACTTGGTTGTACACCTGTCCTCACCCGTTGTTGATATTGTCCTGTTTCATGTTGTGCATTTTATGTTCTTCTGCAGGACCTAACTGAGACATCCTGAAAGCATTCTGTCCTCAGTCCTCTCCTCTCCCAGGCTCCCTAGATCAGTGGATTTTTCTCTGAGCCACACACATAAATCATCTAAAATGAAACACTCAGGACACCAACAGCTGGCATCTGAGATCCCAATTACTGGGTCAGTGGGCAGTTTTCAGCTCTCCAGGTGACTCAGCTGAGCAGCCAAAGTTGCAAACTACAGGTCTTGATGAGCCCTTGACATTTCCCCAAACTTCTGCACTCTCCTCCAGATAAACCACAAAAGCAAAGTGACATGAATGTATAAAAGAGAATCATAAATACAAACACATGGAAAAATTAAAATTAAATAAATAATATTTATAAATATTATTAATTTATATATTTTAAATAGATAAATAAAATTAAACAAATAAAAAATTAAATAAATAAAAAGTATAATACTACTTTTAAAACCAAGTTGTAGACCATCATAACCCCTATACCATCATCACCCCAAAGCCAGAAGTTTGGTCTCAGCTCCTACTAAACACAAAGTAGATAGGGTCAAGTTTCCTATCCCATGTCTCTTCTTCAGGCTCCTTCTTAGTCTTAGATGACCATACAGCCTGTAGATTACCATTTTCCTTCCCTTCCTTTCTAGAAAACTATTATAATCTCCAATATAAGATGCTGTGTAAATAATTTACCTTTCCCCTACTGCCCTATACCCAAACCAAGCTAGCTACCCTAGAACCATGCTGCCGAAGCAAATCCTGGTATTAACAGCCTGTACTAAGTAGCAGATATAAATCTTTAGTATATTAAAGTGCTGTTTTGTGAGAGTGGAACTTCTCCCAAACAGACGTGCTCCTGGGTCCCTTGTCATCCAGCCCCTTGAGACTCTCTGCCCACCTCTCTAGTCTCACTCCTCCCCATCCTCCTGGTTCCCATGATGGCAGACAGACTGAATCTTTAGTCCTGGGGACACAGCTTCTCCTCTGAATACTCCAGCTTTCCCCAGTGCAGGGGCCTCTGTACGTGGTAGATTTCTTTCAGGAGACATTCCCTTGGCTACACATGCCTTTGGTTTCATCTCTAATATCACTCTTTCCTAGGGACGGTCCCGAGACTGGGCTAAAGCTGTTCCCTCTGACACAGAGATTCCCTGCAGCGCAGTCACTCAGTAGACAGTTCTAGCAGCCACAACTACAGGGTGTGATTGGTTCCCAGTGGGGAGACTAGATTCTAAGGTCTCTGCTCATCCCTTATGCCACTTTCCTAGTCCCAAATGTCATGATTGGGAAGCTGAGTGTTGTCAGGACATCATCTTCTCGGAATAAACAGCAGATCAATGGACCAGAATTGATGTCCTTTTCCATCTATTCCCTCCTGTCCTGAATCTTCTCAGGAACTAGACTTCATCTAGGACCCTAGCTCCAGCCCTGGGAAGGATACCTGGTTCCTGATTAAATCATGGAAAATATTAACACAATATACCCATGTCCTGTGAGCCTACACATAGTAAGGTGGAGATGTGTGGACCAAAGGAATTGGTGAGCTTGAAAAAATAAATGTGAAGTCAGTTTTTCAAAGTGAAGAAACAGTTTCTGTTAGTGAAAAGTGCACATGGCTGAAGTCAGACAATTACTCAATACCCCATCTTCATTCCTCTCATATTTATGCACACAGCTCTCAGAGAAGGACTGGTTCTGTTGCTTCATAAGATGTGTGAAGTTTCACAAAGTTTAAATGTACAGTCAAGATGGGCATGCCACCACATATTTTTAATCCCAGAGCTCAGAATTTGAAGTCAAGAGAATCTCTGGACATTGAGACCAGCCTGGTCTACATAGGGAGTTCAAGGCAACCTGGGGCTATACAGTGAGACCATATCTCAAAAAAAAGTATAACTGTTAAATTATTAACAACTCCACAGCAGATTATAGGTAAAAAACTCAATGGTGTATTGAAATTTAAGGTTTAAAAGAAAATTCAATAAAATCAACAAGACTGATACTTTAATGGGATTATTAACAAAATTCATCTTGGATCTTTCTATCAGTCCTCTCAACTGATGATTTTTTTCCTATAGTATAAACAAAACCACAAATACCAACTATATAAAAGGGAAACATGATTATTTAAAGATGTATCAGACACATACAAAGTAGATTCCTGGTTGTAAAAATACAAAAATCATTGCCTCAGCTCTAACTCAACATCAGCATTTACTACATCTGTTAGGGTTGTGATGTGCATTCTAGAATGGTTTCCACTGCTCAAAGACTTCTCACCACTCACCTCTCATCAATGACCACTGTTCACCAAGGGATGGTGAACATGTGTGGACATGATAACAGCAAACAGACATGGAGGTAACCCTATTGTTACTCCTGACAGTTAGCATTGGAGCCCACATAAATGACCTGTTTTCCACTGAGTCCCACATGCTTTCACAGAATTTCACTAGTCACCATGCTCCTGAGTTCAAGCAAGATTTCGAAATGCTAGGTGGGACAGCCAGACAGATTTCCAGACCCCTTCATGTCTATCAGGCGTCTCTAGGAAGACTGAAGAGCAGAGCAGACATCACAATCTCAGAGTCCTGCAGTCACCAGACAGGAACCAGGAAGGAGGCAGGAGAGTGCAGGGGCAGATGGCCCCATCTAGTGGCCTCATCACTCTAGAACCCAGGCTGATCTTGACAAATCTTTCTAGAAAAGCTAGAAATCCAGGCTGTCATTTCAAAAGGCCGATTTTGATATGTGATTGCCTCAAATTTAAGAAAATTAAGAAATTAAGAAACAGCACTGTACACCAAAGAAACCATCTCAAAAAACCAAAAAATAAAGAGTGTAGAAAAAGAAAAAAGAATAAAACACTGTAGTTTAAACACAATCATTTTTAGAGCAGACAAGAGAAGCTCCATTTCGCAAACCCAGAATGCAACTTCCCACCATCTGTGCTCCTCAAGAAAGCCCCAATCAGATACATATTCATTTCCTAGAACTCTGTGGAACAGCAGTGGACTGTGGACTGAGATCCAGCATCCTGTTCTCCTATGGGCTGAGTGTCTCTAACTGGAGTCAGGGATTACTCAAACTGTATTAGAAATTAATACCCTCTTGAAAATCTGCTCTTCTCAACAAGCAAACTGGCAACAAATATACCAATATACCAACACAACAGACTTTGTAACTCTAGCAAAACCAAATATTTCCTTGATTGTGACAAACTGATCCACTATGGAAAAAGCTTTGTCTTTCTGAAATAAATTTAAATCTGAAGAAAACTATAAATTTAGAATTCTGAATGAAGCCAGTGAAAGTCCCAAACTCAGTCACTCCTGGAACAGGACATCTCTCATCCAGAGAGCCTGTGTCCTGCTCCCCCCTTTCCCTCAATGACCCCATTGATCTCTCATCAATGACCACTGTCCACCAAGGTAAGTGTGGACATGATAACAGCAAACAGACATGGAGGTTACCCTATTGTTACCACTGACAGTATTGGAGCCCATATAAATGACCTGTTTTCCACTGAGTCCCACATGCTTTCACAGAATTTCACTAGTCACCATGCTCCTGAGTTCAAACAAGATTGGAAATGCTGGATGGGACAGCCAGACAGATTTCCAGACCCCTTCATGTCTATTAGGTATCTCTAGGAAGACTGAAGAGCAGAGCAGACATCACAATCTCAGAGCCCTGCAGTTACCAGACAGGAATCAGGAAGGAGGCAGATGAGAGGACTATGGCCATTTCTGCATTGCCTCCTTCAAGCACCTAATTCAGAGTCCAGTGGGTGAGGACAGGACACTGAGCACCAAGTCAGACTGCAGTGGAAACAGCACTAATGAACTCAGTCCTTGGTCCACTATTTTCTTCCCTGATGTCTGCCTGGTCCATTCTCACCATGGCAACCTCTCCTGACATGAAACACCCATCCTTATCATAAGATTAGCCACATAATAATGTATCATATTTCCAGAGCTATGAGAAAGCATAACCAACTCTAATGGTGACATTAGAGTTCCTTCTATTTATCTATTAGGGAAATTAAAACCTGCACGTTCCCATGATTTTACCCCTTGGGGGAGGGTAAGGGAAGTGACATTTCAAATTACAATAAAATATTTAACATGATCATCAAATACTTGTAAATTCAGGATGCCCCTCCCACCTGTGCTTATAAATTATTTATTTTTATTTTACATGCATTGATGTTTCGACTGCATGTGTATGTCTGTGTGAAGATTCTGGATCCCCTGGAACTGAAGTTACAGACACTTGTGAGCTGCCATGTGGGTGCTGGGAATTGAACCAGGGTCTTCTGGCAGAGCAGCCAGTGTTCTTGACCACTGAGCCATCTCTCCAGCTCCTACTTTTTCTTTTTTAACTTTTCAATCCCATTCCTCTCTTACTAGTTTTAATAACCAAGGCATCAGTCCATTTCCTATACTATTGATGATTATGTTCATCAAAGGAAACACAACATTCTAAAATGTTCATGTTTGAGAGAATGTGCTGTAGTGTTTGGAGAGACTGAGGCAGTGTGAACATAAGAATTAAGATGATGTTAACAGTGAGTTTGAGTATAAACAGTTGACGGTCACCCTCTCCACCACTGCTGGATGAATCGACACAGAAAATAACCTTGGAGCTGTAAAGGGTGTTTGCACTGTCCAGTTCAGTTGCTGTCTTTCCAATCTCAGACAGAAGGCCCCTCAGAGGGCCCCTGGGACTCATTCTGTAGAGTAATGACTGTCTTCATTTATGTAGACATTGTCTTCAGCTCATGGCCACACAACCACTGTGTTCTGTAAAGCTCCCATCTTAGAGACACGGAATGCTACCAAGCTGTAGAGAGAGATATTGAAGAAAGAACAAGAGGTTACCTTTCAGGTCTGAGCAGGACTTTCATTTATGATGTATGCTCAGGACTCCAGGAGCCCCATTCACAAAAACTGTAACAGTGAACAATGCCACACAGGCCCCTGGCAATCCACACAGGCCCCTGGCATTAAGTAGTGGAAAAGATTTTTTTCTTCCTTTTTGTTTTTGTAATAAGCATCAGACTAACTAAGAATTTTTCTAAAGCAGCTCATATATATTCAATATACTAAAATAATAAAACACAAAAGTCAGAGATCTAGAGACACATATCTAGGCATCAAACCAAGGTACCATATCAGGATGTTTATTTGGAACTTGGCTAGGAACTGGATGTCTTGGGTATTTACTTTGCACTGTGACACTTTAGAAAGGGTTAGGAGAGCCTGTGACCTGAGTGAGATCCCTAGAGCCCTTGGAAAGGCAGAAGAAAAGAGCTCCACAGTGTTGTCCTCTGACCTCCACAGGTGCCACGGAACATGCGTGCGCGTGCGCACGCGCACACACAAATCATGCACACACACACACACAAATCATGCACACAATAATACAAAGATTTCTTTATTTAAAAAGAGAGAGTTTTGGAACATGCACAGCATCTACATCCTCTGACACTAAGCATGGAGTAGAAAGACATATCAAGTAACACAGCAGTGTCTTTACACTGTAGGTGGTGGTTTGTGGCACAATTTCAAAGATTACTGTATGACACACATTCACAGACATCACATGCACACAAACATCAGGCACTGGACTGAAAGGAATTCTGGGAGAGCACTTCAGGTGTTTGTGGCTGGCCCACTTCAACAGCTGTGGAAGGGGCTTCACTTGGTGAGCTCATCCTGTGTCGCTGTTCATCAGGGCAGGCACAGTGGACTGACATTTGAGCTTCTAGAACTCATAGAGGAGCAAATTAGAGAAGAAAACAGAGGATCTCTGGGATGATGTTTTGACACAATGGAGTTTTGTCTTTTGTACACAGCGGCCATTTCTACTACTGAAATGCAGAACCACAATGCACGTCTCCAGTTGGCCACATAAGGAACATGCCTGTGCTGAGAATTACACAGAACAAGAGAGATCCAGCTCCACTCTGCCTGGGCCAGTCACACATGTAGGGAAACAGTGTGATATAACTGACAGAGAAAGTCATGAGAGAATGTCCATAGTATGTCATGTAGTGGTTAGTTTAGTTTTGTGGCTTTTTTTCTTGCTTTTGATTTATTTATTTGTTTGTTTGTTCGTTCATTCGTTTGTTCATTCATTCATTCATTAATTCATTCATCCACTTGGTTTTGTCAGGGTCTCACTATGTTGCACTGGCTATCCTGTAAATTCCTACATAGACCAGACATTCTTGGACTCATAGAGATCCACCCACCTCTGTCCGCTGAGCTGGAATCAAAGGTGTGAGTCTCCACACCTGGTGTTATTTACTTAGTTGTAGACAGGGCATTGCTAGAAGTCTGGGCTGGACATTAACCTACAGTACTCCTGAATTAACTCATTGAGTGTTGAAGTAACAGGTGTGTGACACCTCCCCAAACTTCTCCCCCTCTTCTTTATGTGTTGTGTCTTCTCCAATGTTTTCTTTTATATTAAGTGATTAAAAAGTAACATTGGGGGTTGAAGAGATGACTCAGCAGTTAAGCATGGTCCTTGCACAAACAGGAGAAGCAGAGTTCAGATGCAGGCCCCAGGTAACAGGTAGAACATCGCCAGCATCCCTGTAAGCCAGCACTGAGGGAGACAGAGGCAGGAGGATCACTGGGGCTTTTGGACCTTGCAAAGTAAACAATGTGAACTGCAGGTCCAAGGGAGACTCTGCCTCAAAGGACAAAGTGAGGGACAGAGAAGGACACTCATTGTCCTCCTCTGGCCTCCATGCATGTGTATTTGAACACACTCGAGCCTGTCCTCTCCATGTCCCTGTCCCTGTCCCTGTCCCTGCCCCCACCTCTGCCTATCCCTATCCCATCTTTCTCTCTCATATACACAAATAAGAAGTTTAAATTAAATTTTTGAAAAAAAGATACTTTACTAACAGGAACAAGACTAAAATCATGCTGTGTTCATCCAACTCTTACGATTATTTCCATTCTATATTCAGAAAGTCCAATTTATGTTATTTATATATTTTTTAACCAGTTAGATTTATAAGCATGGGATTCGGAGGTTGAGGCCAGTGTAGTATGACCTCATATTTATGGACCTGTTTTTGATCTATAGGATGAAGCTAATAATAGTTCCTACCTTATAGATTTATTACTGTGAAGGGAAGGTATGATGGACACTTACTAAGAACTACCTGTGTCAGACACTTCTAAGGACCTGACACTGGACAAGGCCCAGTCTATGGCTTGGCTCTTATGCTTAACATAGACACAGGTAAGTCTATGAATGGCAGCCTGAAGGACATGGAATTAGACTGAAAGGCATAGTCCTGTGGACAGCCTATCTTTAGACAAATTAAATAGACTAGATTGTTATAAACATGTTGCACAGAGGAGGTACAGGGGGCTGACACTGGAGAGACTAACAGAGCTCCCCAAGTGTAGTAAACTGAGGAGCCTGCAAGACATACAGTAGTATAGGGAGTGAAGGGGACTGGTGTGGAGTGTGGAGACACTGGCCATACCACAGTTCTGTTACACTTCTGGCATCCTTAGAAATGATCTTCCTCTCAAACTTCTGCTCCCTTGGACTTCTTCAAACAGCCCACCACCTAATCCCATCACCCCCATCATACTTGCCTGAAAGTTCCTAAAAGAACATTTCTACTAGCTTACATGCTCTGTGATACACTTCATCAGTTTTTAATAGAATAGGAACTCAGTGAAAGAAAACACTGAGGAAACAAGAGTGGATCAACTCCTTCAACACCAGCTCCAGGAAGCAAAACGTAGAACTCAGCGACTACCTATAAGACATGAGTATCAAGGGCCTTCTGTTCGTGTCCTATCGTAAATGCAGGAAATACAGATTGAGAAATGAGGGCAACAAGAAAGGGACTCATTAAACTTTCTTTGGGCATCCAACTTATAGAATGGGGGCCAAGCATTGTGGAACACACCTATAATTCCAGAGTGAAAGCATCTGAGGCAGGAGGATTGCAGGTTCCAGCCTGGTCTGGTCTACATAGGAAGTTCCAGGCCAGTCTGGACTACTTAGTGAACCCTATCTCAAATCAACCAACTAATCAATGAATCTATTAGTAAAGAATGATTTAGTAACAAAAGAAAGCATAGAGATCTAGGATGTGGTGGCACACGCCTTTAATTCCAGCATTCAAGAGACAGAGGCAGGTGGATATCTGTGCCTTTGAGGCCAGTCTAGTCTGCAGATCGAGTTCTGGGACCCATAGAGCTCACAAAGGAAACCCTGTCTCAAAAACAGAAAGAAAGAGAGAGAGAGAGAACACAGAGAGACATTCTCAAGATTGTTAGTTTAAAAAGAATCAACACAATCCACGCCAACTTACCTTAGAGACCCCGACTTCTTTTTCATAAGGATGTACCCTAAATTAGGGTAGGAAGAGGTGGGAGAAATTGAAAGAAAAATTGAACATGTTATCAGAAACATTCATGATAATTTCTCCTATTCAAGGATCTTGTTTCTGTTTTTGATTGAACTGTCCCTCTGGTAACTTTGGGTAATTCCTTCCTGCACCCTGCAGGAAGAATATTCTTTCCACTCATTGTTGGGGATATTCATCCATATTGCCTAATTTGATAGAATGAGATTAGTAAATTATTGTTCACCGACACCAACAATGGGCTGCTAGAGAACAAGTCCATAAGGGAGGAATGAACAATTTTGGACTAAGGAAGGGAACACATTTGTGGAATTTTACTTCATTATTACATAATTCTCCCTTTTAGACATGATCTGATATGTAGCCCAGGCTAGCCACAGACTTGTAAATGCTGGTATTATAAACACATGACACTAGATCCACCTTAAATAATGATTTAGGATGAACAGCTTTAAATAATTAAGGGAGACATCTGAAATCTGACAGGCATATTCTTATTCCCCACTTCCTGTGAAACAGTCAGTAATGGTCTCATGCATGGTGTTTTGTAAAGTTCATGGCTGAAGTTCTTACACAGGGAATGGACTACACAGAGAGAAACACTGTGTGCAGATGAACAACTCATGGAAAGGGCCACGTAGGCCTGGGTGCCACCTTCAAATAGTCTGTTCAGCTTTAGTTAGGGGGCTTCCTACCAATGTCTCAATTGCCTTTTCTACTAACTATGTTCCAGAACATCCAACAGTATCATCATGGGAAACAAGCAAGATCCCAAGAGCAGGAAAGGAGAGAACACATCAAAGTTCTTACAGTGTTCTAAAAATTCTCAAACCTATCCAAAATCTCTTGTGTCATATTATGTAATTTATTTTATGGAAACTATAATGTTTCCCTTTTGTCGATGGCAACAACTGAAAGACGAAGGACAGAGTTGGGAACAAGAGTGCAGGCAAGCACTGCAGCCTATCCCCGTAAGCCCAGCACTTGGATGTTGGAGGCAGGAGGATCTGGAGTGGAAGGTCATCCTCAGCGACCTTTTAAGGTCGGTACCAGTATGGACAACATGAGATCAAGTTTTACAGAGTAGGAATCTTTGGAGACATAGCAGCAATGGTTCAAGATCACTGAACAGAGCACTCACCAGGTACCAAAAATCACCTGAAGAGTTTTGTGGGTCCTAACACATCCCTTGGGGAGTACATGGGTTACCCTGTGTGTCTTGGATGTGGGGATATGGAAGCCATGTGAACTCAAAACCCCTGTGACATGTGCACTTGCTAAAGACCGTCAGAGAACCCTGGCTCTCCTTCCCTGGGGACAGTTGTGAAATTACTTACTGGTGACAGCCAGGGTGCACACAAGCAGCAGCAGCAGCAGCAGCAGAGCAGCGATGGAGATGCTGATATAGAAGTCATTAGTCATGTTCTGCTGCTTCTGTGAAGGGATCGATTCCTAAGGAAACAACAAATAAAAGAGCAGTAGCAATAAATAAACAGCGGTAAACACAGGGGCAGCAAGTGAGAGGAACAGAAAACATGTGCTTGACCTTAACCTAGACTCTAGGTCCTAGAGCTTAGTCTTTATTGGCCTGTGGCTAGTCTGGAATATGCAGGAAGAACCAAGGATCTGAGGTGGTAATGGGCAGTGCAACTCCAAGACAGTGTGAATTCGGTGTCTTTGATGATGGTGGAAGTGTATTCTGTGTTGTTCGAGGTGATTACATGGATGGATACCTCAGTTACAATTTTAACTTCATGCTTAATGTAGGTTCATACATCATGTATGTGATTATGTCTGCTTTAATAGTCAATAGGCTATTCCTGAAATTCCATAAACCATCCTATGATATTAAAAGAGAAAAAAAGAATAGCCCATTGCTAAGTTAACTTTCTCTCGGTGTGCTCAGCTCCTGGTCTGGTCTTCCATTACAGACCCTACTTGTCATGTAAATGCAACTCAAGAATCCACATCTTTATAAACGTGTAATACCAAATGGTCAGTGTGGAAACATATACACACAAATAGCATATAGACTAGTCAGGTTATATTAATGTTTATAGGAATACATATAGGTATTAAATATGAATATATGTAATATATAATACATATATACAATTGCTAGTCATATATTAACAATTACATATATTATATATTAATATATTACAGACTATATACTTATATAATATACAATATATAACATTAAATATTATATGTGCTAATATATTATATATATGTAACTATTTAAGGAATAGAGACCATGAATTAGAAAGAAAGCAAGAAGTGAGTACATGGAAGGGTTTGAAGGGAGTTGAGAAAAAAATAAACCATATAATTATATCTAATAACTTTCTAAAAATAGTAGGAAGACTCTTTTCATGGATGCAGCCTGAACACCGTGTGATCAGACAGAAATGCAGAATCTCCCCTAGTGCCCTGGTGCAGGTGATCAGGGATCAGTACATACTGAATAAGCAGGAGACAGGCTGGGCAGCATGTGAGGCCCCTCTAATAGCTTAGCACTCATCTACCAACCCTAAACAGAGCCCATGGGATGGGTTTAACTGCAGGGAAAGGGAGGATCAGAGACCAGGTCTTTGTCCATGTATGAGCCTCCTCTCTGGAGTCACAATCCCAGCTCCTCTGCCTAGTCAGGGAGACCATGGACAAGTTAGTTAAGCTCTATGAGCTCTGTCTCTACATCCTCAAACAACCTGTTCAGTAGGGTTCTTAGGAAAGGTATTCTCAGGTACTTCCTGACAAATGGTGCGGGGATATAAAGTAATATCTGTTGGTTTTGAAAGAGGGTCTCAATGTACCCTAGGTTGACCTGGCACTCACTAGGTAGCCATTATGATGAACTTCTGATCCTCCTGCCTACATATTCTGAGTTCCTGGATCACAGGCAGGTCCACTGTGCCCATGTGAACATTTACTTCATTTTATTTTCCTGATCATGAATGACAACAATGGCTATCTTTTCTTATTCATCTTTGAATATTTTTTCAACCTTTTCATGGATGGAGTCTTGAAAGTTGATCTACAGGTTTAAAATGTAGGATGATTTGCTAGGCATAGGGGTGCACACCTGTAATCCCAGTACTTGGGAAGTAGAGACAGGAGGTCCCAGACCTCATGATCCTTCTCATCTCCATAGAGAATTCAAGGTCACTGTTGTCCCCAGGAGCCCCTGTCTCAAAAAACAAACTAAAAACCTAGACACAAGCACACAAATGTATCTGTGTGCACTGTTCTCAATGCACCTAGAGCCAGACTGACAGCTTCAGAGACCAGATGTCGCTATTTCTTGTTTTGAATTTAATTCTAAAGTATTTCTTCTTGCTGGTAAAGATGCCTGCACTGCAGTTAACCAAGCTCAGCTGCAAATTCACTATGCAGGGTTGTGTTAAAAAACAGTACAAGTCTGCTCAATTAGAAATACTCTCAACACAGAATGATGGTTTCTGATATTGCACTATGTTAATTTACTCCCCTCTAGTTAACTCATTCTTTTTTTAACTTAACTTTTAAGCATAGAAAATCTCACACTTTGAATGCCAGGTGGTGGTAGCACATGCCTGTAATCCCAGCACTTGGAAGGCAGAGACAGGCAGATCTCTGTGAGTTCAAGGCAGCCTGAGCTGAGAGTGAGTTCCAGGACAGACTCCAAAGCTACACAGAGAAACCCTCTCTCAGAAAAAAAATAAAAAATCTGAGGCTTACAATAGAGAAATTGTAGGAAAAAAATCATGCAAAATTAAGAATGTCTAAGACCTTAATAGGTTAGTTATGTGGAGATTTGTGTGAAGAAAAAAATATCATCAATGGGCTCTACAAAGAATGGTTACTGGGTAGAAAAATAATATAAGGGGACCCTAGATAAACTTGAATTCAAACATTCTATATAAGCGTCAACTCTTATTTTCTTTATTTTTATATATTTATTAATTTATTTATCTACAGTTTTTTAAACAGGGTCTCACTATGTAGCCCAAGTTGCCTAACAGTCCAGACTGGTCCTAAACTTCTGATATCTTGTTTTAACTTTCTGAGTTCTAAGAATAAGGAAGATACCACTATATGTGACTCCTTTTTCTTTCTTCTTTTTGATACAAATATCTGTGAACTAACTTTACAGACAGAATCTTTAAATATAAATAGTTTCCCAGAAAATATACCAGTGAATATGGCTAATAAATTGGTGAGGAATATACTTACAGGGTAATTATTGCAAAAGTTGTCTGAGGATGTCACAGTGTAATTCAAATCTGCTCAAGAAGAAGGAAAATTAATTATAATTACAAGAATTTAGATTTTCTTTTCTACATCTGTAAGTATTGCCCACAAGGTGTCTTATACTGTATGAGGGTTAGGATTTAATATGGCAGAAGATTCATTGAACAGCATGTTTTGAATATATTTGAAGTACATTTGAAATGTCTGTTTTATAACAAGGAATCTATTGTTTTCATTGTTTCTCTGTGTCTATATATGAAACACAGAAACCTATATCAGACATACATAAGGTTTGTAACATCCTGACAAGGAGCCCCTTCACTGCATTTTACAGATGGAGCAGCAGACATCAGATGACTCCATATTTCTAATTTTAGCAAATGACAGACATCTCTGCTGGCAATGTACACGCAGTGCCACACAATGAGTGGGAACACTACAGGTCTATGGGAGTCCCCAACTACTGCTAAAACTGGCCTGCCCAGCAGAATAAGGTTGGATGACTCACAGCCCTCCTTATTTTCACATTATTGTGCTTACATGTTATTCAATGGGAGAGCTCTTCCAAGGAACCAAAGGTAATGACTAGGTTTAGGCAACATCTACAGTCTAGGCTCTGTTTTTTGACTTAGGCTCTTAGTAAGACCTTCCAGGAATAATGGTTCGAAACCTGGCTTTTAGAGCCCTTCTCTTCCATTCCTGAATATAAGAAATATCCCTGAGAAATCCACATCACAACATTGTTTGTGGAAGAAAAATATTCAAATATATTTGCTGTAAATGACATCTTGGAGCACTGATTCGAAACCTATAGCAACAAGGGGATGGAGTACTTCTTAGCAATCTCCAGAGACCTGACTTGAGAGCCACCACATCACATATATACTCAATGTAAAGAAACCTAAGTGCTCTGCATAGAGAAGTCCATACACATGCCTCAGTGTGCCCTATTCCTTTCCTAAGCATCTCTCTTCGTAATGACCAGGTGCTTAGGACCTGTTAAATATCTTCAACACTCCATCACATTGACTGTCCCTGACATTATTTTCTTCAGAGAAGACATACAGCTTAGATTGGCCTCAGTGGAGGAGCTTATGCGGAAAGGACCAATTGAGGATGCTGTGGGGAGGTAGAATGGAGCTGTGTCTCTGTCCCTGCCACCACTTACAATGTCAGATCTATATTGTTGCAGAGGGTGCCTATTCTTCACCAGCTTCATCAAGATCTGGACCTTCAGAAAGGCTTAGTTGCCTTTAGCCTACTGGCTATGGGTGGGTTAGGACTTCTGTTGGTCTCTTCTGTGTCAAACACACAGATTGCAAGCCCAACGCCACTTTGAGATCTTTGGCAGCAGTTAACTCTGCAGCTCACACATGATTGAGCCTATATGGTAATGAGTTCAGAGATGGGTAATGCCTGGGGGGCACTGACAAACCTAAGACAGAGTGCCTGTGTGGCCTGGGCAGGTGTCTCCATGACGGGTAAGGTGACCTGCTGACGTCCCACGCAACCTAAGTCAGAAGCTCATTTATTAGTAAAAGGGGGATCTGTAGGGCCCTGGCCCCCATTTTGGGTAACTGTTGCCTTGCTTGCTGACCTTGACCTTGATATCCTCCCTATGCCAATTCCCTGCTGGGTTCCACCCTCCTGAACGCTTAAGGGAAGTTCCTTGTCTGTGTATCCTGTATAATGGGCGTTAACAGCTTAGATGCAAGATTGTAAACCATTGGTAGTGAACTTCTGCCGTCTGGGGTTCTCCTATTGTGCTGTAAGCCTGTCTTTAAGACCTTAAGACCTCCTCCCTCCTTCAATAAATGGCATTTGGCATTAAAAAAAAAAGATCTGGACCTTCCAATGGGATAAGGAAAGAGAACTTAGTTACCTGCAAGAGCATAGGATGGGGTTTCTGTCACCTCAGCTGTTGTCTGATGTGGATAAAATGTAGTGGGTTCTGGAATGAGAACAATGCAAGAACTGTTTCAGCTTTGGAGTTTGGCCCCCACCAAGGAAAATAGAAACAAAACTTACCATCACCTCCCACAGCCTCCTAAACAGGAATGGCTCCTTCCTACTCATTTCTGCATCAGCTGACTCCTCTGAGAAATGTATCCAAAGATGGGCACTGTCTGAGCAAGTGATCTGTGTCCTAATATTCTGGACAGCTTTATCAGGATTCAGAACTGTCTCACACTTTCCATTCTAGACTCCTGAACTCCTCTGACACATACAGTCAATATTAACACATGGAGGATTGAACACTCAGTTAAGATTACAATTTATCAAGACAAGGGTCATTTTACCTTCTAGGAAAGGGACCTGAAGTTTCAAAGTTTCTCACTACACACTTCACTGCAGGCCTTATTCTTTTTTTGTTTGTTTTGTTTTTTGTTTTTCGAGACAGGGTTTCTCTGTGTAGCTTTGCATCTTTCCTGGAACTCACTCTGTAGCCCAGGCTGGCCTCGAACTCACAGAGATCTGCCTGGCTCTGCCTCCCAAGTGATGGATTAAAGGTGTGCGCCACCACCACACAACTGTGCATCTAGCGCCCAGCAGGCCTTATTCAAGCCCCAGATAATCCACACTTCTTTCCATGGAGATGAGCTCACTGAACAACACGGAATAGACGGACCATTTCATCACTGAGTTCTTCTCAAGATAGCAGCATCATTCTGGGGATGGATCCTACTCTGCAGCCTGCCTGGTGCTGTGGAATCCCCCCACCCGCCTCTCTCTCTCTCTCTCTCTCTCTCTCTCTCTCTCTCTCTCTCTCTCATATATGTATATATATATATATATATATATATATATATATACATACATACATACATATATAATCTTTCTCATGGTTGGTTGATTGTTGGTTGAATGACTGAGACAAGGTCTCCTGTCCTCCACTCATTCCTGTACTAACAGTGACTTCCTGTGTTTTCTGACTCATCTTCCATTGCTCACCAAAGGCTTCCACATGGAACACCCTAGTACAGCTTACATTTCCCTTTTCTTCTGGAGTCCGTATGTTGTTCTCACCCACAGCTCACTTCACCTGCAGAGCTGAGCACTTGCCTCTCTGGGATCCTCTAAATACTTCCCTTTTCAGAACAAGGGAGGATCTTGGAGTAAGTTAGTTGTGGCCAGACTGGAATACCTAAACCTGGACTTCTCATGGCTCCTCAGAGTCTTTCTGGATCCCCTACCTCACTACAACCTGATCTTTACACTTGATCAACACCCTCCTGTTCTGCACTACTGTCCTCTTTTGCCCTGACACTCAAACATGTGAGAGGATGTGCTGTGGGATGGTTTGTATGTCAAATGTGTTGCTGATTGGTCAATAAATAAATCACTGATTGGTCAGTGGCCAGGCAGGAAGTATAGGCGGGACTAACAGAGAGGAGAATTGAGAGAACAGGAAGCTGGGTGATAGAGACACTGCCAGCCGCCACGATGAGAAACAGCTTGTAAAGATGCTGGTAAGCCACGAGCCATGTGGCAAGGTATAGATTAATGGAAATGGATTAATTTAAACTGTAAGAACAGTTAGCAAGAAGCCTGCCACGGCCATACAGTTTGTAACCAATATAAGTCTCTGTGTTTACTTGGTCAGGTCTGAGCTGCTGTGTGACTGGCGGGTGACAGAGATTTGTCTTGACTGTGGGCCAGGCAGGAAAACTCTAGCTACAAGGATGTGACTGTCCTTCTGAACTAATGACAGGACAACACAAATGTCAGACGTTCACACACAACAATTCAGTTGTTGATAAAAGGCATCATGAGCTTAAATTCCTTCCCTAGCCTGGGTCACTTTCTCCTGTTCTTAATACATCACATCCTGTATTCCATGAATAGTATCTTGGACAACTAGGATGAGCACCCGAGGTGGATGTGAGGATATGTGTCCTTTTTACAGTAGCCAGAATGTTTGCCTTCTCCCTGGACTGGACAGTCAACCCTCAACTGCAATTCTTTAGTAAACTAACAATAAAACTACAAAATCATATTAAACAACTCCGAGGACGTCATCTGGGCTCATGGCCCAATGTTTCTCTTAAATCTCAGTTTCCAGTCAAGTCAAAAACCTGCCCATGCTCTCCAAACTCAGTTCACGAGCCCATCCTCTGAAGCAGGCAGATACTAAGCACTGAAAAGTTTTGTCAATCCTGATAGATCTCACAGTTCTTCAGTGTGTGCAGCTGCCTGGAAGAGAGGGTTGTTTTCACCAATCCTTATGCTCTAAAATCCCAGTTATAACCTAGAGGCCTCTGCACCCTTGGTGTGTAGCCCAGTCCTTCAGAGTCCTCCTGCTTGAAAGTACCGGAAGGCCAATGAGAGGACAGGATATAAATACCTCCCATCAGATTACTCTAACAACAACAACAACAACAACAACAACAGAAAACTGTGTGGCTTCCTCGGCTTGTCAGGATGCAGCCCTACCTCAAGGGATGAACACATTTTAGGAAGCTTCGAGAACCCATCTCACAGCTATCTTTTCACTCCTGGATGTAGAGGGTTAGGACATAAAGTTGCCTTCAGGATGGCAAACTTCTCCCCATCTGTAAGTCAGGTTACTACCCATTAATATTAACTTTACCTGTAGGCAATTTGAATGAAGTATGAACTAACTACATGACCTCACTCAAAAGCATGAGCATGTTAAATCATTTCGTAAAGCCTTTGAATGTGATGTGTTTTTTCATCCCTACAAAGGACTCATATTGCACTTTTCATGCTACATGAATAAATTGAGATCCTTAAAGTAAACTCTATAAGGCACCCATTGCCTCTTTAAAAGGGTGGAGTTAGGATGCCTTGCTAGTGAGGATGTGGAAATACAACAAACCCTCCAAGTATCCATGTTCATGACAGAGGTCTGACCCTGGAATCAGAAGAACCAGCTTCCAACCCTAGTTAACAGGGACACAGTCTGAGCCACTTTCTCTCCTCATAACTTCCACCATGAGCTTTCTGACTCCGTCAGTTCCGGTCACTATAAAATAGGGACAGGTCACAGGTATGTAGAATAGAAGTGTCTGAGAATTAAACGCTGCATCAGGAAGCATGCAGAATACTGCCTGATGCTCAGGAAATGCTAAACAATAGCTTTGTTGAACTATGGCCTCAGCTGGGTGGCCCAATTCCAGAATGGATGTAAAGGGTCAAGAGTCTCCCTATCCTGACCCTAGTTTTCAGTCAGTCCTTAGTTTTTCATCAGAAAGTCATGTCCAGCTGGACCAGATTCCCACCATCCTCATCAGCTGTCCTAGATCAGTGATCCATCTAAGTCTGGCTAGAAGTGAATCACCTGGGAATCTGATATGGAGAGACAGGTGTGCTGCATGTTCAAGCTCTTGCAAAGCAGAAGGTGAATGTAACTTATGACTGGAAAATTACAGACTTTGTGAAGCTGTTTTGGGCTCAGCTAAGAACTCTTCACCTATATTATACTTCTGACTTGACTCAGTGTCTGTGTCCTACCAACTCTCATGAGAAGGACTCTGGGTCCTGAACCCAATGGGTTGTACCTGCTGTGTGAGTCTGCATGTGTGTTAGTGTTGGAGGAGAGGTGGAGACTCGGGGTGATGTGGGTACATGGGTGGGTCTTGTTGAAATAGTCGCGGTACTTGCTGTAGTTGTGGTTCTTGCTGTAGTTGTGGGTCTTGCTGTAGATGTGGGTCTTGCTGTAGATGTGGGTCTTGCTGTAGTTGTGGGTCTTGTTGGAGGACTTGTAGGAATTTCTTGCATTTAGAAATTGAAACAAAGAAGAATCAGTCAAGCAAGAATAGACAAGTGTTTCTGTTGTAACACTCATGAGAGGCTGTCCCCAGAGAGGCTCCTCCTAAACTTCTGTTCTTTGTCATTGACCAACTAGGACTGGGCAGGACCAATAGGAGGCAGCTGCACTTATCACATGGAGCTGAGCACAGAGCCCATGTTCCTAAGGACACACTGTATAAATGACAGGTGTCAGGTCCTCAGATGTCTAAGCATAGCTGTGAGACTGTGAGGTTATGAGGGGCTGGCACTGCTCTCAGTGGTGACTGACTTCACCCACATTTCCAGGCCCAGCATGTTCATTTCAGTCAATCCCCAGAGGACACAACACACAGCCCTGCATCTTAGCATGCAGATCCCACACAAGCCCCAACTAAATGGGATTTGCACAATTGGGTAGAGAGTGGATATTGTCTATGGTTCCTTCCAATGTAAGACAGACAAGGTGAATACCCCTTATCCAAAAATGCTGGGCTTAGTTTGAGAATTTAAATCTTGCTTAAATATTTGGAGTATTTGCATATAGATAATATCTTATGGGTAGGGCTCAAGTATAAACATGGATTGATGTAGCGTTCATATAATTACTCTTTACCTATATAACTTAAAAGGTAGCTTTATAAACTGTGGATAATTCTGCGTATGATACTTTCATGATGTTGAGTTTTCAAGGTGAATTATCAAGTCCATACTCAAAAGGTTCCAGATTTTGGAGCATTGAAGACTTGGAATGTTTGGATTAGGCAGGTTCAACCTACAATTCACAAATCAACAGGATCCAAAGCACTGTAAGGATCCAAACAGCTACTGATGGTGTGTGCAGAGTTCCTAGACAGGAACTAAGGCAAAGTGGTGCTGGGATCACACAGTCAGCCAGGACTCATGCTGTCTGTGTCAGCAGACACATGTGTTTCCTGTAAGTAATCTCCTTTGATCTTGATTGTGCTAACTACAAAATGAAACCTGGACAATGAGAACTAAATGCTTTAAAAACTCTTCTTTACCTTGAATACAATGTAGTCCCTTAATATAGTGTGTGTTTACCTTGACATAAAGAAAACACTGCAGTGTTCCTACTATGCGTAGGGAAGTATTGGGTGTAGAGCACCCCCTTAAATTCAATATAATAATTTATTCATTTATTTGTGTGTTTGTGGGATGTCACAAATGTGGATGCCAGGGGATAACTTTTCAGAGTCTGTTCTCTCCTTCCACCATGTGGGCCCAGGGATTGAACTCAGGTCATGAAGTTTCACAGTGGGCACCTTTCCCCACTGAGCCATCTCACTGGCCCTCAAGCCCCTTTTATGTAGAGGGTCAGATGGAAAGATTTTTGTTTCAGGAACATAAAAACAGGAGTTCAGGAGCAAGCACTCATGTCAGTCAGTGTGAAAGTCACTGCTGACAACTTAGCAAGGAGTGGGTGTGGCTGTGCTGCAGTAAAACTATTCCCAGCAGCAGGGGGTCTATTTCTAACCTGGTCTGGTCAGTTTTCTGATCCAGTCTAATGTGTGGGCAGAGGCCTGAGCACAGTACACACCCTCCCTGGAGAGTATAAATCTCTGAGGTGGAGAAAAGCAAGCATGTGAACAATCTAGTCAGCAGATCACTGTGAGAACAAAGCCAGGAAAGAATCACCAGCTCAGGAGCTTTGCTTTTCTTGCTCTGGGCATTTTTCTCCCAGGTAGATGGGGAAGTCAAAGGGGCTGATGAGGGTCCCAGAGCAGCTGAAGAGGAAGGTCTGTGTGTTTAAACCATGAAAAGATGTAGACTTGGTTGTTAAAGGGGGAATCAGAGTTGCTGGCTCACTTCTGGACTCACTCAGTGGTCAAACAGTGACTTTGTAAGCACTGACCTGTTAACAAATTTCTAAGCTTCATAAAACCTTCAGTTAATCAACTGAAATTAGTAATTTTCTGGTGACATGCCATGCCTATCCCCCTTCTAGGGCTGGAAATATAACTCCACAGTTTTAGGCAGGAATGTGTGGTAGACAAGTGCATTTCCCAAGCTACAACCACAGCCCTCACTTGGTTATTGTGCGTTTGCAGTTCTAGGGACAGAACCCAAGTCTTCAGGCATGCTCGACAAATTTCTAGACACCCAATAAGGCAGTTTTTTTTTTTTACTGATTTCTCTCTCTGTCTCTCTCTCTCTGTCTCTCTCTCTCTGTCTCTCTCTGTCTCTGTTTCTCTGTCTCTGTTTCTCTGTCTCTGTCTCTGTCTCTCTGTCTCTCTGTCTCTGTCTCTGTCTCTGTCTCTGTCTCTCTCTCTCTCTCTCTCTCTCTCTCTCTCTCGTGTGTGTGTGTGTGTGTGTGTGTGTGTGTGTGTGTGTGTGTGTGTGTATTTGAATGCGGGTTTATTCTCATGTGAGTGGGTTCCTTTGAAGGCCAGAATCATTTAACTTCAGCCAGGTAAGTAATATAATTCCACACCTGTGATAGGCTCTTAGCACCTTATGTCTCTCCCCCAATGCCATCTCTATACATCTTTCTTTGCACATGCTATGACCAGCTTCTTCTGGCTTCCCTAAGTTGCCTCTCAGGCATAGTTTTCCAAGGCAGCTCCTTGCCCTTCAGAATGGACTTCATCCTAAGGAGGTGTGGTCGCACATGCCCATTATCTCAACACTGGGGAGGCTAAGGCATGAGCAAAAAGTTCCAGATCAACCTGATTTACAAAGCAAGGCCTAGTCTCAATATCAATAAATCAGTCAATCAATAAACAGAGATCCAGAAAAATGGTTCAATGGGTAGAAGCCCTTGACTCGCAAGCCTGGCCAGCTGACTTACATCCTGAGAACTCACACAAGGATATAACGATAGTACCAACCACACAAGTTAGTCCTCTGGCAAATTCATCATGGTATGCAAACCCACTACATACACATCATTCACACACAGCCACACAATAATAAATGCTGTAAGGATTCTGTTCTTAATTACGTCACCAGCCTGCGATGGTGTCCCAGACTAAAAAACGGGTGGGCCCTCTGTGCGTTCCTTTTCCCTTTCAGCTCTCTTCCCTCTGCATGGTCTCTCTGTTTCTCTGGTCCTCTCTCTCTCTCTCTCTCTCTCTCTCTGTCTCTGTCTCTTTCTCTCCTCTCTCCCTCTCTCTCCCAATAAAGCTCTAGAAAGGTAACTATGGCTCATGACTCCAGCACTCTCCTCCGTGGTGGCTGCCAGGTACTGGCCTTGCTGAGAGAATGGCACCCAGTGTCTGCTTTGATATGTTAACAAGCACCTTAGTTAGTCTTCATCCTGAGACCTAGCAGCTAACACCTCCACCACTAACAGATCTAACAAGTCAGACTGTCTCCTTGCTCTGGGGACCAGCCTGAGACTCCTCAGGGGGAATGCTGAGAGGGTTATTCTGCAGGCTGCTCTCTGAAGAGGATCCTCTGTAGACCTGCCATTCCAGTCATGGCAGCTATTTCTCTCTCTCTCTCTCTCTAGTTCTCCCTCTCTCTCTCTCTCTCTCTCTCTCTCTCTCTCTCTCTCTCTCTCTCTCTCTCTCTCTCTCTCTCTCTCTCTGTCTCTCTCTCTTACACACACACAATCCTGTTCTTAATGAAACTCCTCTCCAGGTTGTAAAGAGAAGGCCCTCCTTCCCTGGAAGCCTCTTCACACCCCATCAAGGGATGAACCTCATAGATGGTATTGTTTCTGTCTAATGCTCTCCCTCCCTGCTGGGGGTCTGACCTCGGCCTTGGGGCCTCCTCATTCTAACAAAGCTCATTGGAGGGAACTGTGTGTCAGCGTCATCTATGGACTAGCTGCTGCTGCTCATCTGTTACTACACTGCTGAGTGACAGTGAACAGGTGTTGGAGGGAACCCTCTTCTATGTGGACATTTCCATTGTTCAAGCAACAAATTGTGTGACAAGATATGAGACCTATTTCAAAGGCCCAAGGCAGGGCAGACAGGGAGCAGAACTCTCCACCTATACACAAATGTATTTATAGCAACCTTCGGTTTCCTTCTTAGAGGAAAACAGAAAATATTAGCACACAGAGGACTAGGGTCACTTGAAGAAATAAACAAAGGAAATAAAGAAAGCTTACCTGGTTTGATTTCCAAGGAATAGGTCACATAACGAAAGGATCCAGGAATCTCCACTATACAACAATATGGACCACTGTCACTCTGAACAGCATTCTCTATTGTCAAGGACACGTTTCCTTCTGAAATATGCCCCTTTAGCTGGTATCGGCTGCTCCTCTTATAGGAGACTTGATATCCATTGGTCCAGATAAGCGTTCTTGCACAGTAAAAAGACTTACATTCCCCGAGGCCCCAGCATGCGGTAGTGACTCCCCCATTTGTTGAGTAAGTACATGGCAGTGTGACAGGGTGACCCACCACACCTTCCACTACTGTGTAAGAACCCAGAGCACCTGTGATGGAAAAAAGAAGAGAGGGGGAAGAAATGGAGAATTAGTACCCAACATTTTCCTAAAATTTTGTTCATATTTCTTTTCAGAAAAATTACGGTAGGGGTTATTGAACTGGAATTTAATTTAGGGTATTATGAAACTGAGGCAAGTGCTGTCCACTGAACTACAGCTCCAGCCCCTCTTTATCATCGGTGTTTTGGGAGTTGAGGAGGGGCTGGAGGGAATGACAACTTAATGTTTGTTGTTACCATTGGGTTTTCTAAGCCAGGGTCTCACTTTGTAGCTTTGGTTGGACTGGAACTTGCTGCATAAAACAGACTTCAAACTCCCAGAGCTTGGCTGCCTCTACCTCCCCAATCCTATGATTGCATGTCCAGTTTTACAGCTTGAATTTGAAGACTGTGAACAGTTGTCTCTTAGCATATTCTTCCTCAATTTGATCACTTAATGGACCCACTTGAGAACAAAACAACTTCTTGGTGGTATGATATTCATGCAGCTTTTCTTTTCTTTTCTCAACTTCAGTGAGTGACTTTCTTTGGAGAGAGGGTTTTTTATACCTCATCTGGCTCAAAATCATGATCCTCCCACCTCTGACTCCTAAGTGCTGAGATATTAAACATATGCCACTGAGACCAGCTCAAATGTTTCATTTTTTAAAATTCAAAACTTTCTATATCAGAAGCTGGGCAGTGGGTAATGCTTTTAAACCCAGAACTCACTTGTAAGCCCAAAACTCACTTGTAAGCCCAGAACTCAATTGTAAACCCAGAACTCACTTGTAAGCCCAGAACTCACTTGTAAGCCCAGAACTCAATTGCATCCAAGAACTTGGGAGGTAGAAGGGGGGAAGATGAGGAACTCAGGGCCAGCTTCAGCTAACTAGTGAGTTGAAGACAGGCCTAGGATTTGGAGACCCTGTCTCAAACCATCCCTCCTCCTCCCCCACAGTGCTATGACAACAAAATCACTAAGTCTTCCCACCTCTCCTAATCAAAGAGCAGAGCCAGGGCTTTGGAAAAGCATTGTTGGCTTCAAGGCAGAACCTTAGTAACTTCAAAGTCAATCTTCAGGAAGGAGAGACTGAGGCTTGTTCTGAATTTTATGATTGACCCTTAAAACACACACAGACACATACACGCACATAGATACACACACACACACACACACACACACACACACACACACACACACACACACTCACACTCACATAAACTAAGCAGAGGTCCTTTCTTAAAGGTTGGTGACATTCCAGAACTTTGCAAGACCTACTAACTTGCAAAGTAAGACCACATACTCAGAAAATACACAACCAATAATGTAATGGTACAATTTAAAAACTGAAATGCTTAAATATAATTCTTTTGGGGATGATGGAATAAAAATCTAATACCAACAGCTTCTACAGTGGCCTTTAAAGGAACTTTGAGGGCTGAGGATACAGCTCAAGGATACAGTGCGCTAGCCCATGCTAGCCCCTGTGTTGGATCCCAGCACAGGAAACAAACAAATAAACAAACAAAAGCACAAAACAATGAACTGTGAGATTCCTAACCACCTATATGCAGACCTAGGCTGTGAGTTTGGGACATGGTCTAGAAAGTGCGCTCCTTGTTCTATAATGAGTGTATACCTTACTGGGACACTCATTAGTTGATTTTGCTAAATACTGTTTTTTTTTATGTTTGTTTGTTTGTTTGTTTTCTTCGAGACAGGGTTTCTCTGTGTAGTTTTGGTGCCTCTCTTGGATCTCACTCTGTAGCCCAGGCTGGCCTCGAACTCACAGAGTTCCACCTGGCTCTGCCTTCCGAGCGCTGGGATTAAAGGCGTGGGCCACCACCGCTTGGCCTCTTTTAGCTCCTTTGCTCTTTGGGGGCCCACCACCCAACTCCCAAATAAATCATTGAAGTCTTATTATTACTTATGAATGCCTGGCCTTAGCTTGGCTTATTTCTAGCCAGCTTCCCTTAACTTATATTTTCCTGTCTACCTTTTGCCTCTGGGCTTTTTCTTTTTCTTCTGTATATTTTACTTTCACTCTTACTCCATTGCTCACCATGTGGCTGGGTGGCTGGCCCCTAGTGCCCTGTTCTTTTTGTTCTCTTGCTCCTTTCTTTTTCTCTCTTTTCCTCCTTCTATTTATTCTCTGCCTGCCGATCTTCCTATCCTTACTCCTGCCTTGCTACTGGCTGTTCAGCTCTTTATTAGACCAATCAGGTATTTTAATAGAAGCACAGCTTCACAGGGTTAAACAAATGCAACAACAACAACAAACCGCAACACATCTTTGCATCATTAAACAAATGTAACATGTCTTAAAAAATATTCTACAACAAAATATCTTATGATCACAAATAAAATACATGCTATTACAATTAAGTCATTGAAATATATTTTATTTCTCACCGGTGATCTTAGCTCTCTATAGGTAGAGGCAGGAGGATCAAAGGTTTGAGGTAATCCTCAGCTAGCTATAGAGTTGGAGGCCAGCCTGGACTAACTTAGACCCTGTCTCAAAATCAATTGTATTATTCCTTCTATCCCCCCTTTCATAGAACACTTTGCATTAGAATGTTTTTAAGTTAAATATATGAAAACGGTTTTAAAAAGCAAAAATACACAAAGAAATGTAATGAAGGCTGACTTTGAGTAGTCATCATGCATGGAAAGCTCTGTTTCCAATTTTTTATTAACCTTTGACTATAACATGCATGCATGTGCACTCACCATTACTTGTCCCTCACATGCATGCATGTGTTCTCACCTCATGCCTGACATGTTTTTGGGGATCATGTTTATTTAGCCATGAGTTTTGAAATTCATACAGGTTAAGAAAGTTCTTTGGAGCTACAATTTATCCTGGTCCTCTGCTCACAACATAAGCCATAATCAAAAAAGCCCGAGGATTGTCACCTCTTCTGCCAGCTCTAGCCTTCTCAGCATCCCCCAGCTCACCTACTCACTTACCTGGGAGAAGTAGTATGAGGCTTGAAATGAAGACTTGAGGATGCATCATGGTGTTGACCTGAAAGATAACGAGAAGACACTGGTCAGCTGCTGCACTCAGCATACTGTATCAGGGCATGGCTTCACTGTGACTATGAATCACACAGGCCTTTCTGCTAGGGACCCCTGTCCTTCCAAACATCCTCTTCTCTCCCAGTCCTTCCTCATATTCAGCCAGCAATCTCGCTTCTGGTCATGAGATAGATAAGGCAGCAAACACAGATAACTGAAGGCAGAGACAAGAGTGTGTTCTCTAGTAGAACTCTAAGCAGAGACCAGCCTTCTAATGGCAAGGATGCACTTGCCCCCTAGTGGACACAGAGCTGTTTCTGCTCAGAGCTACTGTGGTTAGTCCCTGAATCTCAACCAAAAAACACCAGCAAGATGGACTGAGAGAGACTGTAAAGCATCTCTCATACTTCCACACATAATGACTGAGACCACATCTTCCTGGGGCATGTCTAGAGATAACTAGAAAAGCACTAGGTACAGATCAATATCTACCATTCACAGAACCCACCCATGCCTAGATTTCCTAGAGGTAAAATAGCACCAGTGTCTACTTAGATTTTGTAGAATCTGCTGTGAAGGAAACAATGGTGTATTTACTCACAGAAACCAAATCCTCCCAGAATCCCTAGACCTGCTACTTTTAAGACCATTTATGAATGATGTTACCTGTCTTCAGATTCCAACATCTGGATTTCAATGTTTGTTTCTTAATTGGTTTTTACTCATAAAAACATGAGTAAACCTGCCTAGTACTTCATTAACTCCACTTCCGGTCAAAAGATTCCATGACTTCCTCTCAGAGAGTAAAGTGTGCCCTGTTACCAGCCTTAAAGATAGCAATGGTTTTCATGAAGCCTCCATGAGATCAGCATCTTCAGGCCTGGGCCCCGCACTATTCACACTAACAGCCCCTGTACTGAGAAGAGATCAGAAAACTAATGCTGCCAGCTCCAGTGAAACAATGACTTTCATGGACATTCTGAGAATCTTACTTCTTTATTACAAGAGAACTTCAGAACATACAAAACCAACACAAGACACTATTTTACATTTTGACACATAGTTGGTAGAAAATGGTACCAACCATTCTATCCCTTTAGAGTTCTATTGAGAAAGGATCATGTACTTGGGCATTCATGGTCTCATACTGTTGGCTACCTTTACACATGCTCACTGTCACTGAGCTATCTCACAGGGTTTCCTATGGCCTACTCACTCATAAAATGAAGGGACAGACAGTCCTAGTTAATAGCTTTCCAGGTTCCCAAAGGAAAACTTCTCCATGTGCTGGAATACAATTGAGTAACTAGGTGGGGTCTACCATGGAGTAAGCACCTTGCTGGTAGCTTGAAATCCTTTTATTTTGTCTTTACATGCTTAATGAGAACATACTAGAGTCCACCTGAGCCAACAAATTTTGAACTGTAGTTCTCCGTAGAATCCACACTGTGAAGATCCTGCAGAGAGACTGTGGAAGGATGGAAAGTTGTAGTTCAAGAGTCTTAAATAGCATAAATTTTCTCTGGTCCTCTCAGTACCCATTTTTTTAGCAACCTCTGCATCTCAGCTAATATCCTTGTGACAATCAGAAAAGTCTGTGGAAAATATACTGTTACATTTTCACACAGGCACCTTCCACCAACCCTAAACCTAAGAATTTTAGAACATCTGAAATGTATGGAAGAGATTTCTGGCCAGGCTGTTGTGTCATACATCTTTAATCTACAGCCTGCAGAGGCAGGCTGATCTCTGTGGGTTTGAGGCCAGCCTGATCTCAAATCAAGTTACAGAACAACCAGGGCTGCACAGAGAAACTCTGTCTCAAATCTTAGAGAGAAAGAGAGAGAGTTCTGTGTTCTGCTGTGTCCCATCTGCCTGATGGTCCACCAGTATACTTGGTAAATTCATTAATTTATGACTTCCTTTTGTTTGGGAACTATGAAATTTCGTGTAACCTCTTCCTCAGTGGAACTTGATAGTCATGATAAAGTAACCTATCTATACATGATATACTAATCTATACATGATAAACTAAATGTGTTCTGAGCATCGGTCACTCCAATTTGGATCACAATAACCCATTATTTCCTTTGGAAAAAGAGCAGCATTTTTCTGATTTTTAAAAATTACATTTAAATATTCTTTATGTCAGGCAGAGAATGAGCATATTATGGGACACATGTGGTCAGAGGACAATTATGTGGAGGAGGTTCTCTCCTTCTTTAATGCCAGTTTTGAGGGTTAAATCCAGGTCCCCAGGATTGGTGATAAGAGCCTTTATCTACTCTGGCATCATCTCTTGGGCTCAAGGGCTGCATTTTGCAGTCAAAGCTAGGAGAAAAAATGTTACAGTGGCTCACACAGAATTAAAACATGCCTCTTTCATTGGAAAAGCAAAATGTTTCAACACTAGTTTTTCTGTGACCTATGACCAGGCCAAATCAGAATGAAAATTAGAAGCATTTTTGAAAAGATTTTTATTACAATGCAGCTATTATTAATAAAATAATATATTTTAAAAATAAAATAATAAATATTAATAAAAGAATGGGGGAGTATGATTCAGCACAATAGGGATGTAAAATATCCAGAATTGTGCAAGCAACTTACACGGGTATGTGAGCAACTAACAAATAAATTCACAAACAATGAGACAGATGGTAAATGTGTAATCAGACCATGTCATGTCCCACCGACAACCCTAACTCAGCTCTCTCAAGGAGCAGGGAGCCAAATTCTTACCCAGTGTTTTTACAAAGTTCCTGACTAGGCTCAAATTTCCTTTCCTGACTCTTGTTCTATAGTCATGTGGGCTTCATTTCCAATTCATCTCAAAGGTCTGTCCAGGTGGTATTTGTCTTGGCTCTTGTTCCTTAACCCCACAGACAGTTTTCACTTTTTCTTACTGATCCCTGCTTAAAAGTCTGGGACATTTCCCATGGATCACCTGCAGTCTAAAGCAGCCATCCTGCCCCTCTCCCGATCTCAGTTGCTTACAAAAAGTTCGAGTTAAAACTCATGACAATCTTCCTGACTCATGTCTGCTCATCAATGGAAACTTCTCTGATAAAGGCGTCATTATGTCTGAGCTCTGTACAGTATTGTATCCAGATTTAGCACTTAAAATGTGGCTAGTACTAGTGAGTGAAAATTTTTTTGAGATAGGGTCTCTATATATACCCTTGGCTGTATGAGAACTCACTATGTAGACTAGGCTGGCCTCAAACTCACAGATCTTTTGCCTCTGCCTCCCCAAGTATTGAGATTAAAGCTATGTGCCAGCACATCCAGATAGATTGAGTAAATTTTTAAAGATTCATTTTTATTATTTCTTAAATTGTGTATGTCTCTGTGTGGCTATGAGCACCTGGCAGGTGCCTTCTGAGCCCCAAAACATCAGATCCCCTAGAACCAGCATTACAGGCAGTTCTGAGCCACCTGATGTGGATGGTGGGAACTGATCACACATCCTCTAGAGGAGTGTATAGGCTTTTACCTACTGAGCCGTCTCTCCAGCCTCCAGTTGAGTAAACTTTACTTTATTTTTCCAACTAATTTGATTTTAATCATTAAGATATTGCACATGACTACAGTGCTGGATGGCACCCAAGTGTAGGTTATATTTTCCTTTGAGGCAAATTAAGTGTGATTAGAGAGATGAACAAAATGGAAATTTAAGGGTTTGTGAGAGATGACTCCATCATTCAGGGTTAGCAGGGTAAGAGGACAGGAGGCAATATCTTAAAAATTGACATGTGAGAGTCAGGGGTAATGGCTCTATCTGTGATCCCAGCACTCATAAGATTGAGGCAGGAGGGTTGCCATGAGTTTAAAGGCAGCCTGGTCTACATAGTAAGTATCAAGCTAGACAAGGCTATAGAATAAGACCTTATCAATAAAGGAAAAAGCAACATGTAGCATACTTGTGTAATTCCAGCATTGGAGAGACTGAAGATTGGCAATTCTGAGCTAGCCTGGGCTATAAAAGTTGAAAAATACAAAGAAGCAAACCAAGGTAAGTGACAGGAGAGGCGAAGAGCTTAAGGGAGACAGGTGAAGGGCAGAAGGTGTCAGAAGTGAGGAAAGGATGAAGATGGGAGCTGAGGAGCTGAGCCATTAAATACCACAAATCCTTAGGGGTGGATTTCCCCACACCAGCCCATGGGCTCCCACAAGAACAGCCACTGTGCCCTAATGTTCACAGAAGACATAATCCAGTGGAGTTTCTTACTATTTACTTATTGCTCTTGTCATAAACTCTCTACTACTGTCTGTGAACGTGTGCAGGCCATGGCACTCATGTGAAGGAGAAAACAACTATCAGAAGATGTTTCTCCCCTTACACCATTATTAGGATTCCAGGATCAAACTGGGGTGTCAGGTCGGCCAGGCACCTTGATCCCTTAGTCTTGTGAGGATGATGGAAGTTTTCTTTGTTAACTAGAGCTTTGCAGTCTTCCTGAGTCACTACATTTTAGGGTCAACTTTGGCATTCTCTGAAAGTTACTCATCACTTGCAGGGGAGTACTGTGTGATGACAGGACTCAGGTATGAGACCAGAATTCCCAGTTCCTTACTAAAGACCTTCATTTGTGGGAATATGGGGATAGCACATTGGCAAAACCCACCTCAACTTGGCCTCTGCTGCCCTCTCTGAAACAGTTCAACTGCTTGAATTCATGTTATTTTCACCAAAGCAAGACCCCATTGGCCCCCTGCACTACTAGGTACTCACTGAATCACTCTGTTGCACCTCAACCCCGCCACTTTATCTTAGGCCACTATCTATAAGCAGACTCCTGAAATCCTTTCTAAATGGTCTCCTAATGTCCCATAGCCCTCTGTCAAGCCTGCTTACCATGTAAGTCAGCCATTTCCCTTCACTTCCTACTCACATTAGAATGCTAATATTAAGACTGGAGAGATGACTCACAGTAAAGAGGGTCTACCACTCTTGCAGAGGACTGGAGTATGGCTCCCTCCCAGCACCACCCTCAG